CTTCTCCCTGTTAGATGGAAGCAGTCAAAGTAATTGGATTTAGTTTTGCCTGATGAAATTGGACATGTACACGCTAGCAACGAATGAGTGTACCAGATGACACACGTTTTCCAGAGCAAAAGCCTGCTTCCGTTCTGTCCGGATGCTGACGCCGACTGAAATAATCGGGGCAGTCAGCAGTTGTACTCTGTTCACGTAGGTTCTTCCAAATCCCGGTGTTCATTCAAACTTGGCACTTCTACTTCTCTAGCGCCCCAGAGCACAAACGTAAGTGCGTCTGCATAAGTGTGTTCTGGGGCATGCCGCTGCTCAGGGCTATTTCACCACAGTCGACCCACCTAAACAGACTTCTCGTCCTTTTCATGTAGGTGGAAATCTCAACTCTTCCTCAAGGGGGTCCAACGGTCAATTTTGTTGCTGCATTGTTTTCTTAACAAACTTGTTTATGCTGCAATTGACTTAGCCGATTTCAACATGTTTTTCTGCCGTATATTCTAAGCCAAACATCTTGATCTCGGATCTTTCTTAGCTTGCTTGATCAAGCAGCTGCAGTTGTTTACGCATATGTGTGCTCTGCAGCTGGTCAATCTTGCACATATCTCTGTGGGCTTGTACGTCCGCTTTGTATTATACGCTTAATTATATTTCTGCGGCCTCACCCCAACTTTCGTCTCCCATCGCGATACGTCCGATAGTGGCTTTACTTTTTGCTCGTGCAAATTTTTAAAGAAATTTCCTTTTGCGTAATCTATTTACAGGGTTAACACATGTAATTTTGTTGGAACTTCTACCGCGACGTAACCTTTGCGTGAAAACCTTTGTCAACTTGCACTCAAGTTTTGCGGCGCTTCCAGTCATTATCATGAGCCAAATAAATAAAGACTGTTTTCCACAGTTATCAGTCAACCGCAAGAGATGTGGGCGAAGTGGGCGTCCATCGAATGTGTGACGTTGTATGCAATTTCACACCTGCAAATATGTTGGCACTTTAAACGTACGGGCTTACAGAATAACTGGATAAGGCAGTTATTTAATTCTCCTGACGCGTTTGCCTGTGCCATCCGCTTCTACCACTAGCGAAACCAAATCCCCACTGCTAAACTGGAAATAACAGTACAAATGCTTCGTTTTAATCAAGATACTGAACGCAAACCGACGCTTTGGTCCAAGGCTCCCGAGACAAACACAAAGAACCAAGCGGCCTGAAAGAATTCGGTAATGAGCTTTCTTCCTCCCACCTTAGGTCCGCTGGCTGCAAAGAAAGTCATCCATCTGTTCAGTTCGGTAGTCAAAACCGTCGCTGTGTTCTGGTGGAGAATGGCATGAGACAGAGCAGGCTGTTCACCCATGATTTGTTCTATACAGAAATCACGCCAACAAGCTGGGCGGAATCGCTCCTTTGCGGTGTCCTCTCAAAGCCTGAACACGGATTGCTTCCTGCAGAGTGATTACGCGAAAAGAAGGGCAAGGAAACCATTGGGCCCAAAATCATCCTTTCATTCTTATCTGGCGTACAGAAGATCCTGGAGCGAGCTTTTGTTCTTCAGAAGGCTCAGACGACGATCAGTCTCATATCCGAGTATCGCCCACTAGAGGCCCGAAAACTGGGCCACAGAAGTCTTAGAAGAGAGCAGTAAACCAGACTTCCGCTAGGCTCAAGTTCAGCCGACCATAAGCTTTAGCCAAACCGATGGTAGTTACGGCTTGTGCTCTTGAAAGCACGCCCACACAAATGGCTACAACTACGGATTGCAGCCTCCACTCAACCACCGCAAACCCCTCAAATGCCAAAGACAGCGATGCTCGGGAGGAGGCGAGCTTCGTGTGAAAGCAGCTTTCAAAGTATGTAGAGCCATCATTGCTTATTTCCCTAGCAGTTGATAAAGAAACAGCAGTAATTGCCGCACCCAAGTCCCAGCTTTTGAGCTAAATTGGGCAAAATATGGCGAGACAGCCGGCGAAGCCACATACATTGATCTCGTGCCGCAAGAACCCTAGAGCCTCTGAGAACGTGAAACTGTCAGTCTTCAGCTCCAGTCCGTCACGAGTGGCCCCTCCGATTGTGAACAAAATCATCGTCCATGAATTAGACAGCCAAGGCCACAACCCCGACAATATCGAAGCGGAAACATTTTCGTACGCCACACGAATTGCAGATGACCAAGGATTCGACACAAACACAAAAGAAAAGGGCATGCATCAAGCAAACCACATAAACTTCGCCAGATCAGATAGCTGCTGGCTAGCTTCAGGATGCGGTCCTCTGCAAACACGAGCTTCATGGGAGCATTACCAAGAGAAACGTCTTTTGATGTTGCTATCAAACACACGGGGCAGCTTATCGATCGGACCCCGCTCAAGAAACTAAACGGAAGGATGTTTGCCTTCACTCATTAAACCACAGTAAACCTTATCAAAAAGAAGATAATCAACGAGCTTCAAGTAGCAGCGGTGAAAATGTTTGCTCACGAGGGGAAAAACTACGTCCTCCAGAGGTAATGTATCAGCGATTTTAAGACTTTCACGGGGTGTTAAAGATCCTGCGAGACCATTAAAGCAGGAAGCAGACAAGTATGCCACGGCGTCCCTTTTGGTGCCTTTGACTCAATCCCAGCCTGCAGGAAAAAATCTGCCAATCACACCTTTGATCGCGGCAGAGACTGTCAATAGAACACAAGAAAACGGGCCACCATTCCGGACCTCGCCCGGAAAAGAGAAATATACCGTTCAACTACATGAGACATCGCCACAGAAACAAGCCATCCGCATTCCTATTGAGAGACAGGAACGGAGAACCCGCGAATGACCCAACACTGGTATCTGAGGCTTACAGAAAACACTATGCAGGTCTATATTCAGTCCTCACGTCCTCGTCACGTCCAAATTTTGTTTAGGCGTAACTACGAACACCCTCTTACCGGCTTGGTCCTGCGGTGGTTGACATTCGTCAACCCACTCCGCGCGTTGGGGCCCGACGAGGTCCATCCAAGTATCCTGAAGGAGACGTCGTCTACACCGGTAAATCCTTTACACCTGATGTTTCGTGAGTCGCTTGACGAAGGCTGCCTTCCCTCGCAAGGCTAAAAGCGATTTTCACGCCAACCTACAAAACTGGTGACCGCCTGGGAGCTGCGGACGCTGCAAAGCAGTGGTCGCTGGGCTGACACCTTCCTCTGCATGACGAAAAGTGCTTCCATGTCATTCCGGGGGACTCAGCTAACGCCTTTGACGTACATGGTGGGAATGGACCAAAAGACACCAGGAGGATAGATACCAAAAAGGACGTGGGTTTCCGGCTCTCTTCACACCTGTGCCTCCCACTGCAGCAAGGGAAATCGGCTCAAGGCATTTCCCGTTCTACGAATGATTCGACACACCTTCTCCAGTATTACCTGCATAGGCTTCCAAATACTCTGTGGGTCACAAGTCGGACCGCTCCTTGAATATGCTGACCAAGTTGTCGGCTAGGGACTCAAGAAGGACGTAACCCCATTGAGCGTGTCCAATGAGCTGCTACCAAAATTGTTGCCGGCCTTTATTCCATTGGTTATGAAACGCGTCTTGCAGCGCGTCTCCTGTTTCTCCTGGAGCATCGTTGACTCCGTGGACATATATACTCACGCCTTGTAGGAATAAGCGTCAATCAAGTTAAAACACGGCGTGGATACGGAGGTGAGATTTTTAAGCTCAGAGCGCACACATTTATCAAGCAACTTTTTCCCATCTCAAGTAATTGCTGTGTGGAGCAACCAAGCTCCTACACATGTACGCGCTGCATCTAGTTTCCAGTTCAGAGCACTATTGGGCAATCTTTTACGCGATGCCTTGTGCTGACAAGTTTACTGCCCCACGTTGAGGACTTAAAGGGCAGCGCCGCACGCTGTTTTGCCCGAGCATTTCAAGTGAGGGACAGTCTCTGAAAAAAAACCGACCCGGGAAACTTGGATGAATTTTTTATCATGTGTATCAATCCGAAAATACGGTAACTACGCATAGTGGTTTGTTTATCCACACGAAGTTTATTTCCAGAAGTTAGCACTTACCTTATAACCTCTCAGTCTCAATGTGATGACGAAACACAGCTCCGTAGTCAGTGTCACGTTTTTAGTGGTCTGCTATCCACTCAGTTACTTTACCAAGAGTGTGCGGCAAAAAAATAAAAATAAGAACGCTAGATTGACTATACCATAACAAAGAGGTCAAATGGATCAGACTAACTAGAAATTGTTCCCCTAAAACGGTTCGTCGTTGGCCCAGGCCAGCGAATAAACAATAATGCGATCATGGTTATCCAGGAGTCGTTCTGAATAGTTCCCGCATATTAAAGATTCTGAAAGGTTTTGACATCAGAGTTAGCACACGCTACTCGCCAGTGCCCGCTGTAAGCGCGAGGATAGTCAGGAGAGAGTCGAAGCATGTGACGACGATTGTATTGAGTTAAATTGTGCAATTGCGCGTTTTTGTAGTTTTCCGTATTCACACAATAAAACGTTTATGCAATTGGCAGAATAGGTAATGTTATAATGGAAGCAAAACAAAATACAACACGCCATACGTTCCACAGCCAATCTACTTGATGAACAATGCTAGACCCTGGCTGTTCCAACTGGAATCTCTGTTTGCTGTTAAATGGTTCATTCGCCGGATCACCAGTTATTACATTGTGCATTCATTTTTGTCCCGTTCAACCAATGAATTAATTGGTACCATGAAGGACTTCACGTCTGGCGTGCCAGAAAATTCTCTGAAACTGCTAAATTTAAACGCATGGATTTCGGGTTGTTGGTGGCCAGAAGCCAGAAACAAACGCCGTTTATTCGTCAAACGCGAGGGTTAATACGTACCAAAGTGGGTGGCAAATTACTGTGCAATATGCGACCTTGGATCCGTGACCTGAAGCCTCGGAGCCCGGGAGTGAGCCCAACCAATCAGCGTCTCCGTAGACTTACAGCGGACCTAACGCGAACTACGAGTGGTCAGCCGAAATGTTTGTCTCAAAGCACGCACACTCTTCCCGTGGTTCCTTTCGTTGATGGTCCGTATTCCATTTACCCGTCCATTTTTACTGAGGAAATTTTGTTCACAAGCCGTCAATTTCATCAATTCGACGCCTCTAGGAAGCACGCCATGTTGGTTCAAAGATAAAGACCTCGCCCGTATAGTCGCGAAAGACCTAATCATCAAGGAGGACTTCATTACATTGGAGGAGGAGCAAAATTTAGCAGCTGAGTTGGACACAGTTCTTGGTAGGCAACACTACCAGAAGTCGCACTGGGACTACGTAAGTTCAAAATTTTCCCGTGACGAATGAAAAACCATTGACAGCGCGTTGGTATTTCCCGTTTTCACAGTTCCGTCTGTGTGCACTATTTTTGCTGAATGGGACTTGCGGAATGTGATTTTGGTCGCAATGAGGTTCCGGAATGACATTAAGTTTAAAGGCTTAATTGGCGCTAGATCCCCGACGGATTCCCCAATGAATAGGGTAAATAGGATATTTTATGTCTGAGCACACACATACTTCATAGTGGTGTAGGTCGTAGCAGATCGTGAGTAAGAACTCCAAGGAATGTACATCCTGTACAGTTTTTAGGTGTCTTAACACGATATTGAAAACATTAAGATCTTTCGAAGTGGTACTTTATTCACTTTATTTGCGGCCAAGTCCTCCTCGCTTTTGAATCGCCGTGACTCAGCATCTCACGACATTTCCTGTTTCGTATCATCAACAAGTGAGGGTGTCTTACGAAAACTAATGACGTGGAGGCCATAGGGCATTCTCTCTCTGGCACACCAGGGCACACTGTTTTTTCAGCAGTGTGTGTCTAAAGTCGGTTGCCCAGTCTGCATGCACACTGACTCAGTAGCAACTTGGCAAGTTTCTGGGAGGATTCGGAAGTCGTCGGTTGTTGGCGTGTATGAGCGTGCAGGTAAGCAAATGAAACAAAGCAGCCAGCTGCAGTTTGATATTCAATGCAGTTTGGCATATTCAGTGCTTTTTTGGAATGGTTTTGTGGCGCTAAGTGAACCATCCTTGTGAATGCTACTTCCAAATTGCCCCGGCCAAATGTGGGAGGTTAGTTGGTCTACCCCACCTTTAGTGTTTGACTCAAAAGTCCGGAGATCCCTATACCAGTCTCTGACTCAAAAGTCTGAGTCACGAGGGAGGGAGGGAGCTTTTCCAGGACTTAATGACTCAATATTCTGACTCATTGAGCCTGTTCCGAAGGCGCCGTATGGTACAGATGATACCTGAGCAGCGCCATATTTTTGTATTGAATAATTTCTCCGTGGTTACGGTCAAACGTTGGGCGATCGGAGTTTACGGTTTTTAGAGCCGACCTTTTCTAACCCGTCCTTTCTCGTGGGAGGGCAAAATTGCTGCTACCTTGAATATGAACATGCTGGCCGCTTGAGGGAAACACACACTATCTTCACAATCCTATCGCAGATGACAACACGACCACCTCCAGACCGCCTCGTAACACGATTTCTGTCATTACGAGTGCTCGCTATTCTTCGTCGTGCTACTCACTGTTGACATTCCTGATGTCGTTGAACCATTATAGCCCAATATAACCAATATAACTCACAAGGCCATTGCAACACATCGCAACCACCGCTACAACGTGACAGCTTTAGGTCGGGGCTCACATCTACCGCAGAACGTCTGCTATTCAGGCCCCGTTCTGTTTTTATTGCAACCTCTAACATAAGAACTATAAGGCAAGTTGGCCAAGAAGCTATGGTTGCGCCTATATCATATACTTTTCCACTATGAAGAGCCCGGGTATGGCCATAGTAGCGGTAGATTTCATTGTACAGGCGTGATGCTTAAGCTCATTAGAAGCACGTTTCGGCGCTGTGTTTAGTCTGAACCCGAAATGCAACGGTAATGGTGAACCCTTTTTTGCAAATTCATACTGATCGCTAACTGCTTCTCAGTAGTACTTGGTTTAAACGTAGCAGGCGCTGTTTTATCTGGAATCCCTCTACCGCCGAGCGAGCGTGAAGTTAAATTCCTCACATCACCACTAGCTACCATGAGTGTGGTTCAATCCTTGTCCGCACGTCGTTCCGGAACACACGAGTAGGCTCAGATCATGCTCTCTTTCGGTACAGGTTTTCACTGAGGTATGCCAGCTGACTAAAACAATCATAGTGATATAAGTCTCAAGGTGGTCGCAGCTCGGCTCTCGGCCTCCCATAGATTGCAACTTTTATCGCCAGCATGTGAGACTCCGAGAGCGTCAAACAGAATTGCAACCTGGAAGGTGTGTTGATCACACCTCAGCATCGCATAATCTAAAGCGCACTTTTAACCTTGAGTCCAGGATGCCCAATCGGCGTGGGCGAACACTCGTCGTCGCCGGCCGTTATTTCTATGACATGCCTGAAGACACCATTGTCGGTCGTTGCTGGACTGAATGACTGCTTGAGCGTACATTCGGTGGCGGATTTTTCTGGCCTGGATGCTTGACACCTCCTCCACTGCGATTTTGGTGGAGTCTGATGATATCATGGAGCGAGATGGCTCAAGTGGTTAAAGCGCGAACTTACTGACCGGAGGTCCTTGATTCGAACGCGACCTCTGGCTCTGGACTTCCCCTGTTTAGACTTGGGCAACCTGGCAGTATCACAGCCCTTGTGCTTCCTTCTGGTGGCATGGCAGCTAGGCACCGGAAGGGTGATACAGCTGAACCGATGGTCTCGGTAGGTTTCGGGCATTCTGGGATTATTTTCCTAACAGTACTTATATGGGCGGTTGAAAGACTTGGGTTCTATCCGAGGACATGAAGTACATTTAAGTGCCCTCAAGTCACCGTAGCATAGCAAGCTGTCTGCAACCAGCTGGTGCCTAAGCGGATACTTGATAATGAATCCAATTCTTTAGAGCAACAGATTACCGGTTTTAGGTGGTTGGGCCATATGCTCATCGTCATCATCATCATCATCATCATCATCATCATCATCATCATCAT